CGTTACAAGATAAGTTTACAAGAGAAATTGAATGAATACATAATGGATATACGTGAATGACGTGTTGTTCGAGTTATTGCAGATATACTTTTAAAGTGTTCGAATAAAATTATTTTACGATTAGGAATATAAAAGAGCCACCATGTTTCGTCTATTATACATGTATGTAAATATCAATGTATCTGTAGAACAATATATATACCGTATATCCATACAGAAAAAAATAATATATATATATATATATATATATATATTATTGCAAAATAATAAAAATATAAAAAATCTATATATATATATATATATAGGTATTACATATATATATATATTTTTTTTATTAACTTTTAAATTAAGGAAATATTCAATTAATAAATATTTCAAGATTCTTGATTAATAAATCATTTCTTTTACGTCGGACTCAATAAATGCTTCTTTTTCGTTTTCCTCGAACATCTCTTTCACCAATCAACTTTCAAACATATCACTTATAACACACTCGTCTTAATGTTATCCTTTAAGGAATTAATTCTTTAGATTTTAAACTTTGAACTTTAAATGCGACTTGCTACGATACTTCGATAAATATTATAGTAATAAAATCTAATGATAGTTATCGCATACGAAGTAATAAACTATAATGATCTATAGATCGATTAGAAAGATTTCTTCAAACATTTATTATCTTTAATGGATTATGAAAAATTAAAGCAATGTCTATCGCTTTTCCGATAAGGATAGAATTGATTATAATTGTTCGATTATCCAAGTACATCATTATCAGCAATAATCTATCGAAAATGTAAATATTTGTTTAAAAATTATTGATATATATATATTTTTTTTCCAGCTCCTTACTATTGACATTTATTATGTTTTACGATAAGAATGTTTCCTTCAATTATTTGGATAACCTAAATACTTGAAGAAATTCTTTACAATCATATCATATTTACTCCGATAGATAGAAACACGTGGTTCTCATAATAATAATAATAATAATAATAATAATAATAATAATAATAATAATAATAATAATAATAATAATAATAATAATAATATATGAAACAATACTAATATAATAATAATGATAATCAGATAGAATTTTTATATGTGATAACTGATCTTATGTTTTTTCAACTTTTCTCTTATCAATTTAAATGTATAATCCTCACGAAACAAGCGATAAATGTTCAATTAATCACAATAACAGATAATATAATGATAACAAATAATAATTAGAAAAAACACAATTAAAAAATATATTTGATGAATTTTTAATAATCTCTCTTATTTGCCGTATATATATACACGTATAAATGTATAAGTATATAAGGAATGTAAATGTGTTCGAAACTTGTTCGTTATCGATTAGTATTCCTTTCTTTTTTTTTTCTTTTTTTTTTTCTTTTTTTTCAAGACCCATTGTGCAAATTAATCGAAAAGTAACGATAAGAAAATTCACGGAGGAACTTCTTTTGAAGCTTCGAAGTTCGACGAAAGAACACGATATTAATTCAATTGTAATCGCTATCATTGTGGTTGATCTGAAAAAAAGACGAAAGTCAAAGGAGATCGAACACGACGACGATGAGTCGAATAATCGAATTGAAATATTTCGATATATAAACATTTTATTATGAACAGAAGTTTTATCCTTTAAGATAAGCCGATCTGATTTGACGAAATGGTTTGATTACAAGATAATTCTTTGAATTTATAAATTGCCGATAAAAACAATAAGATGTTGAGGGAAGATAAAATAGAAAAAAGAAAAAAAAAAAAAAAGAAAACAGAAAAGAAAAGAAAAAAAGAAATGAATAAAAATACAATACGGTTAATAAATTATTAATGAATGTAACGTAAATGAGACAGAATAAATATTCTTAAGTAGAAATGTTTGCGAAGATTTAAAAGGGCATTTATTTAATGAAATTAAAAATGCATTAATCATCGTCGGAATATGCCTTATCGAAATTCTTCCGTGAAGATTTATGCATATATATATATATATATATATATATATATATATATATATATATATATATATGTACATACGATACAAAGAATTCATATCGAAAAAAATAAAAAAAAAAATATATTAAACGATAAAATATTCTTACGTTACAATTTTATATATCTCTCTCTCTCTCTCTCTCTCTCTCTCTCTCTCTCTCTCTCTTACGTGAGATTATCGATTAAATTTAAAAAAAAATGAAAATAAAAATAAAAAAAAAGAAAAGAAACATAAAGAAAAAAGAAAATTCATCTCTCTGTAATATCGAATATGAAATTAAATTTATAGATCGAATTATAATATTTATCTCATTTGATCTAATACGACTATACGATCGTATCGAATGGCGATGGGTCCATTTTAAAAAAAGAAATGACATGAATGAACGCTCGAAAAAAGGTATGCTCGAAATGTGATTGACTTGGCTCGGATCTAACTAACTTAAATATTTAATCGTCGTTACAAAACTGGTTTAAACCGAATACGTCGTTAATTCAGAAGAGTAATATTCCACAGATAATCTCATATCGATCGTCGATGATCTTTGATGATTCTAATCGTTTTATAAAATATTGCGTTTAATTCTTACAAAATCATTAATCGCGCTTGATAATTTCTCGAGTGTTAATTAATTTTGAAATGAAGAGAAAGAAGAAAATCTCCTAAATATACAGTTCGTCGCTTTAAAAATATTTGACAGAAATTTTGTAGGCAAAAAAGGAAAAAGAGAAAAAAAAAAGTAGCGTTTTTTACGTTCTAATAAAAAAAAATTTACTACCATTTAATCGATCAAAATTGTTTACTTTTTTTTTTCAATATCTTTTTTACGACACATTCCTCATGTAACACATTTAGAAAGTAAACAGATTAAAATCGCTTATAGTTAGTAAAATTTAAAAAAAAAAAAAGAAAAAAAAGAGAGAGAGAGAGAGAGAGAAAAGAAAAAAGGGAAAAGAAATGTTTAAATATTTTTACAATAATAAATTTGATATCTGTCATGTGTGTCGTCATATGAAAGTAGTGTGAAAAAAAAAATATTATTAAATTCTAATAGTGAATGATCGTCGACGTTTACATACATAGAATACATTATAACAGAAGAATATCATCTGATCGAAAACAAGAGGAAAACATAAAGTTTGTTTAACTTCAACTTTGATATCGATAACGAGAGATCATAATCGATTGATTTATTGCATAAAGTCGATAGCTCGAAAAAAGTGAAAGTCTTCTATTGTATATATGTTTATTTTAACCATAAATTATATTTCCATTTCTCTCATGATCAGACGATTAATATATCGAGTTTTTACAATGAGCTCATTGCCAAGATGGAATCGAAAGAAGGACATTTAAATGATTGTGCGTTAATGTTCGATTTGTCCTTCGCCATCGAGAAATGAGTTTTATATTTAATCTAATAAAAATGTTCCCTTACAATTTTAACGATCGTTAACAAAAACTTTAAACAATATCTCTCTCCCACAATCTGTGTCTTTAATTTTTTTATTCGAAAGGTATGATCATGTAATCCTTTTTTAAATACAGAGAAGAGAAAGAGAAAGAGAGAGAGAGAGATAGAAAGAGAGAAAGGAAAAAGAATATATTATATTGAAGCACATGTATACACATATTCGTCGATGTAGGTCAATGTTCTTTCAAATTTAAAGGACACGAATGAAGGATACGCTCGAGAAGAGACAGAAAAGGCGCGTGAACACGTGATTGTGACGTTAAAATGAATAAAAATATACAGCGTAGTAGCTATGGCCGTTATATATACATATTCATATACTAAGATATAAACAATCGCAATTCGCAATCTAGGTGGTTTGTATGAACGTAACAATTACAAAATACTTGAGAATTTTTTTATAAATAATATTTTTAACCATAATTTTCTGTACAATATTTATTTCAACTAAAATTTTTTATTAATCATTATTATTATTATTATTATTATTATTATTATTATTATTATTATTATTATTATTATTATTATTATTATTATTATTATTATTATTATTATTATTATTATTATTATTATTATTATTATTATTATTATTATTATTATTATTATTATTGATAAATTTATCATTTAAATATGTAGAAAATTTTGAATTAATAAATATATTATATATAATAAAGGTGAATATATATTATTGATGAGATAAATTCACTTTCGAAATGAATACAAATTTTCTTTTTTTTTATCTCGAAAATCAACGATATAAATTATGCGAAATAATATAATAATATTATCAAAAGTGATTCAATCAATTTTTCGAGCTTAAACATTCCTTCCTTTCGTTCCTCGTATATTCATAAAATGAAATAATTCGAAGAAAAGGAGAAAAAAATAAAAATTAAAAGATTCCATTCGCGTTGAAATTTTTCTAAATTGTCATAGTGCTTTTAAAAAATGTGTCATTTTTTCTGGATTAATGTTTTTTACATTTTTTACAATAAAGATATGGTTTTCTCTTTATTTTTTTTTTTTTTTTTTTCCCTAACAACGGAATTTTTCGAATTTACGAAAGTTAAATAATCCACGAAAAAGCAAAAAATAAAAAGTTTTGTAATAGAAGCAAATAAATTTTCGAAAGAAAGAAAATTATTTTTCATAATGGAATACCTTGAAATTATCTATGTTTGGTAATTATCGACGCATAAGACAAAGGAAAAACGAAATTTGTTTTTACAATATATAATCTACCGTAACACAATTTAAAGGACATAACAGACAAATATATATATATATATATATATATATATATATATATATATATGTATGTATGTATATATATATATATATACATACGTATACACATACGTACACATTATATACACAATACGGAAAAGAGATGTTTATTGTCGATCTCATCTTAACCGAGATAGATATTTTTCCACTTTTTTCTATATACATATATATATATATATATATATATATATATTCTTTCTTTTTTTATGTGTTCAGATTATAACTCACCGTACTCGCTGTAAATCCTAAATTGTCGTGCGACATCTTTGCTCCAATGGATCACGGATCGTTCACGGTTATCACGAGTTTCCTTTAATCTCTTCCTTAAATTATCTTTAACTCTGCGGCTACCGTGTGCAACGAAGAACGAACAATCGTTAATGATAGATTAGAACGATAGATCGAGTGATCAATCGATCCTTCTGATAATATAATAAATTCAATTTTCCAGAAATCAAATTTAATAAAGAAAATAAATAAATAAATAGGACAAAATGAGGATAAAAAGAAAAAACAGAAGAAGAAGAAGAAAAAAAGAAACAACAAAGAAGGAAAAGGAAGAAGAAGAAAAGGGTGAAAGGTTGAAAGGAGGAGGAGGAGAAAAGTCAAGGAAAAAAAAAAAAACGGAAAGAAAGAAAAAGATAAAGATAAAGATAAAGATGAAGAAAAGGAAAATAAGGAAAAAATGATTGAGGGAAAGCTTTTGAATTTGTTCGAACGAAATATATGTATATAAATAAATATATATATATATATATATTGTTTGGTAAACTAATTTCCCGATATCTACGTTATTAGCGTTGCATTTTATACCGTGACAGGTACGGCGGCCGCAAGTCGACTGATTTGTCTTTGCGCGAAGTATTATTTATATAGCACACCACGACACGCTACTCGCACTCCTGCCATTTCGTTCTCCTATCGGTCGACCGTAGAGATCACAGTGACAGTGTTCTCTTCTATACTCGTTATCCTCGCGATCGGATCTTTTTTTTTTTTTTTTTATAATCTATATTTCCACTACTTTAATCAATATCAATATAATATTATTTCTTTATTTCTTTACTTATTCACTTACTTATTTATTTATTTAATTAATTATTTATTTATTTATTTGTTAAATTTGTTATTATAATTGTTATTGTTTGAAAAATTTGTCGAAAAAATTTATCGAAAACACAATCGAAATCGGTCGAATTGATTTCGTTAATTTCTCTGCTCCGTACAACTTTACGATATAGACATGTATATTACCATTATTATTATTATTATTACATTATTATTATCATATACTATTCACATATAATTACAATTATATGTGGAAAAAAAAGAAAAGAAAGGAAAGAGAAAAGAATCGATCGCGATCTCTTGCGGGAAAAAAAAAAAAATCACAGGGATTAACGTCACTTATGATTGCACAATGAAGTATTCACAAAAATAATATCTCATATTTCGTAGGAATATTTAGCCAAAATTATAATTTTAATTGCACGTTTATCGCTGTAGGATACACGATGTAGTATTTCGAACGACTAATCGGTACATAATAAGTCGTAAGTTTATAAATAGATTATATTCGAAGGACCGAACGAAGAAGTGGGGCGGATTCTGGGATTAGTCGTCTTTTGTAAACGAATTCTATTCCATCATGTGATATAGAGGATGATAGTTCTGCGAATCTTTCGAATCTTCGATTTGTGTATATCTTCGAAAATTTTCTTCGTATAACATAGTTCGAAGTCGATCGAATTTAATAAATCATATAAGTTGAAATATAATATCAAAAAATTTATCCATTCGATAAATGTTTCTTTCTTTTTTTTTTTTTCTTCTTCTTTTTTCTTTCTCCTTTTCTCTTCTTTTTTTTAACGATCCCATTTGTTCGTTTGCCACAAATAAAGATCTTCAAAAGAATTATTCTTTTATTGAACATAAAAGAGAAAACAGTGGAATATTAGATATTAATCAAAAGAAAGAAGAGAATTATTGCGTTTATGTAGTATATCTCGATGATATAACTAATTATACAATATTTGATTGATCTCTTAAGAAAGATAATTATTATTTAATCGACGACGAAAGAAATAAAATTAACTGTCACACATAATATAGAAATTTGAATATATATATATATATTCAAATATAAATATATATATATATATATATATATATTCGATATATGTTTGTTGTTTGTTATTATCATTTGCCGGAGAACGATCGAAACATGTTTGATTTTTTCTTCCTTCCATACAGAGAAATTTCAATTCCATTTAAATCGAACGTTTCGTGTAAAGATCGTCATTTAAATAATATGATAATATAAAGAAAGAATTTCTCTTTGTAAGATAAAAAAAAATATTTCTAAAGACTTTCGACGAGTTTAATCTTACGCGTAATCCGCGTTGATTCGTTGAATCTCCAACAATGAACAACAATGAACACATACACGAGATCTACTAATTTTCACGAACGACATTACTTCACATCGTGATTCACCTGATCTCGTCAACGAGAATCAACCCATTTTCTTATTATACCATTTCAAGGCTAAGATAAAAAAAAAAAAAAAGAAAATTAAGGCTAACGCACTATAATTCTTTTTACCGCGTTAACTTTCTTCCTTTTTATTTACAATGAAATCTATTGAACTACGACGAGTAAATTTTCAACAAATATATGTATATGAATGTATATATATGTATTTATATTTATATTTATATTTATATTTATATTTATATTTATATTTATATTTATATTTATATTTATATATATTTATATTTATACTTATGTGAAAATAATTAAAGAAATGTTTATAAAGAAAAAAAGAAGTAAATATTGTATTTCTCTTTTTAAGATTACAAATATTCATATGTATAAAGATAGATAATAAAATTATATATATATATATATATATATATATATATATATATATAAATATATAAAATATATAAATCGTCATATAAAAATAATAAAAATTTCAAGTAGAAAAATTGTTTCTATCTTTTTTTCCTTCTTTTAATCGAACCAATCAAATCGTATGTTTATTTTACTTCTTTTCCTTCAGTCTTGGATAACAATCTTTTATGTTAACTACACAATTAGATAAACAAGTTTGAAGTAGAAAATGAAGCAAACAAAGTTATAAAAAAAATGTCTGACAGGAATAGATTTTTTTTTTTTAATCGTAATCTATTATCTTCTATACAATCAACGCAAAGATCTTTGTAATTAAAAAGTATTATTAAGTTGTTTGTACGTAAAATAATCCGTACATACAGCGTGATAATTTTCTGCACTTGTTGCCAAATGAAAGACGATGCGTTATAAAAAATGCGGCTTTGATGGAATTTTTGCGTGATTTGTTTCGGCAATTTTTTTTCTGGTTTCTTTTTTTTTTTTTTTTTTTTTTCTTTTTTTTTTTCTTTGAACTGTTATTCTATTCTAATCTATTAGCCATTTCTATCTTTTCAATTAATTAGATCTTTTACATAATTATTATCTTCATTTAAATTGGACATGCATTTGATCGTTGATTTTTTTTTTTCTTTTTTATTTTTTTTTTTTTTTTTTTTTTTTTTTTTTTATTTTTTTTTCTCTCGATTTTTGTTGCATACATATAACACACACACACACACACACACACACACACACAGAGAGAGAGAGAGAGAGAGAGAGAGAGACAGAGAGAGAGAGAGGATGAGTAAGGAATCTTAAAAATATATTAGATAATTGCACGTGTAATTAGTTCTTGAGGGGGGGACGTTACAAACATAATTATATTTTAATTTTCTTGTTTCTCAATATTGTTCTAATGATTTAGTTACTTTTTTTACAACGTCCACAATGAGACGTGATTTCATTTAAAATGAAATCACGAAAAAAATAAAGTCACAATTATTATAAGCAGACGATACGTAAATGCAATGATAAAACGCGAGTGCAGTCATAATTTTATTCAGGAAGGCTCCCCATCTTTCTTTGGATGAAATATTAAGATGTTATTAAATCTTTTGTATCATGCATTCTGATTCTATGTTAAATGATGATTAATATGAAACATTTCGTTATTATATTAAATCAAATTTAGAGAGATTTCTGACCAATAAAATAATTTTTGTAAGCATAGATTACAGGCACAAAGCTATTTACATTGTTTTTTTTCTTTTCACTTACATTTTAATATAAATTGTTTAAGATGTGATTTAGATGTATATGAAAATATTAATTATTATAATATTATTATAAACGTAATATCGCATGCAGAAATGGTATAGTTATCGCCACTAAATAATATTATTATATTTATACACATTCTCATAAATGAGATGCAACATGACAATATAGACGATAGAGATGATATCTTATAGTTTTTACAAGATACCAAATTTTTTCTTTCCATTTTTTTTTCTTTCTTAATCTTTTCTTCTCTTCTTCGAATTTTTAAAATAAATTTACTCTATAAAACGAGGCAGCAGCACAAAAAGTAGGCGACTCCGAAATAATATAAATTTATTTCAATTATTCCCTACTTTTTGTATCGATGTCTTTTTAATTTGTGAATAAATGTTTCTCTCTCTATTTTTTTTCTTTTTCTTTTCTTTCTTTTTTCTTTTTTTTTTTTTTTGTTTTTTTTTGTTCGTTTGTTTTTTAGAATCCTGATAACCCACATATACATGTATATTGTATGTATTTATCCATGTATATATGTATACATATGTATAACTCTTATATATGTATGTATATTTAACAAATTTTATGATCTAAATTATACAGTGCTTAGATAAGAACTCCATCTAAAAATATGTAATGATTAATGAATTAGCAGGCGAATTTCCTATAATCATTATCTCATACATAACAGATTCTGGAAAATATTTCTTCGCTGAATGTAAAGGTTTGTTGAATATGACTGTAATGAATGATAGGAATCATCAGATTTTTTTTTTGTTTTTAAACATAGGTACACTTTCTTTTATGTCAGAAGCCTCGATATCTCTTCCGCAATTCCTGACAGGAGAGAGTTATTGTCACCTTTACCTTCGATCAACAAATTACCTGTCGATTTCTAAAACATATAAATAAATATTAAGCGCAAAAAATCAGAATGAAATAATCATCAATATATCTCTATCGTATATTTATATCGTTATACTTACATTATATTTTAATAAAAGGCACACATGATGTCCTTTCAATGAATGACCATACAAAGATGCGGTATTATTTATTTGTTCCACGAGTGTGAGATTGCATTTGCAACAGACAGTATTTAAAACTGCATTAAATTCCTGAGACGGGACGATTTCTTTTTTTATTCTAGATACTAGTTGACCACTTTTAAGCAACTCCGTTAATATATCTTTATGAGACAAATGTCCAACCATAAATTTACTACACGATAAATTTATAGTAAAGTCGAGTTTTTCTTGTATTGTTCCTTCCATATTTTCAAGCATATACGTCAATGTCCCTCTCAATTTTTGAGCGAACGTTACATCGGATATTAATATGGTAAATTGAGTTTCTTTACTGGATTGTGGAGGTAGTTGGAATGGCAATTTCATTCCATATTCATCGCCATTCTATAATTGTAAAAAGAAAAAAAAAGAAAAAAAGAAATCAAATTTCGATTAAATGCTACAAGTAATCTGTTGTCTTAAGAAAAAAAAAAAAAATAAAAAAATAAAAAAGATAAATAAAATAAAATACTCACATTTTTCATTAATTTCAATGTTGACGTATCCGTAATATCGAACCTTATTTCTTTTACGAGCTTTTGACCTATATTAGTAATGAGTATTGATACAATTATTTTACTAGTGTCATCTGCAATTTGCTTTAATTCATACATCATAGAAATAGTTTTATTCTTAGATAATTCATCATACGCGATTAATGGTTGAATAGAATTCAAACTATTTTCAGTAATAACTAAGTCATTCCTTAACTCTGGCAATATTTCTTTGGAGGGCGTAGATATACCAGCTGTTTCTTCATAATCCGACGACTTCTTCTCTTTCTTACTTTTTGATTTTTTTGATTTTTTATGTTTGGTATCGACTTCCTTCACTTTTTTATGTTTCTCCTGACTCTTAGATTTTTTTCTCTTATTATCTTTTCGTATATCTACATTTTTTTTACTATTCACTTCTGCGTAATCTTGAATAGAGGAAGAACCTGCTTCTTCAGTATTATCTTCTAACCACATATCAGTCATACTTATTTGATTATCAGCCTGTTTTTCTTGAACACATTTACTCTTTCTTTTTGTTTTTCTATGACCCTATTAATATAAATAAGATATATATTTTCTCTCCTACACATATCGTATGTAATATATATATATATATATATATATCTACATTATATATAAAAAAGAATAGAAAAAGTAATTACCTTATCTTTTTTTATTGTCTTTACCTCTGTAACTTTCTGATTTGGACTATTCTCTACTACTCTGTGTTCCAAAACCGGTAATCTTTCGTCCTCCCGCAAAGGCATGTCTAAATCAATATTTAAAGCTCGATGTGGATCATTTGCATCGATCATATCATAATCATCGCTATCACTTATTTCTGCCCCTGGTGGAAGTTCACCAATACCTGTATTTATAACTTGTGTAGGATAATCTTCTTCCCTTTCATCTTCTGATGCCGATTGTTTATCTAACAAAAAATTAAAAAGAAAAAAAAAATTATGATAATAATAAAATGCAAAAAAATAATAATACAATGTATCTTAATCGAGGTTTACAATAATACAGTTGCATAACATTAATGTATAAAGAGAAAAAATATATATATATACATATATATATATATATATATATATTTACTTTTTTTCGATTTCTTTTTCTTGCCATGTTTTTTATGTCTCTTGTAATTATTATCCACACTCATATTGTGATATTTACTAGAATTAGAATAATTCGATATTTTTAGAGACACTGGTATGTCTAATTCAGTAACTGGAATGTTCTCAAAGTCTTCATAAAAATTTGTTGAATTATGATATGATGTGGAATTCTTAAATGATCCCTTCAAATAATGAGGATTATTTTGCTGTTCCAATTTTCTAGCCTCTCTTCTCTTTTGAAGTTCTTCTACCGTAGGTTCGTTAGTTTCTCGTTTCATGAAAGAATTATTAGACTTCTCTGATTTCACAAAGATTTCGTTCATGTCCATATCCTCGGAATCAGAGCTTTCCGAGGGTGGATCATTGATCCACGAATCTAGATCTAAATCATCAGGTATAGGTACCTAAATATATATATATATATATTAAAAAATTAATTATTTTAAAGAGATATTCGTAACCTTTTTTTTTTTTTTTTTTTTTTTTAACAAAAATAAATAATATATTATTTTTACCTTTCTTTGAGCTTTAGGAGCAACAGGATTAAGTTCACCTTCAAAGGCTTCCATTAATTCTTCAGCCATGCCAGGATTTTCTTTCAAGCATTCAAATAAAACCAATGCAGAACTAGATCTCTCTTGAACCTCTAAATCACCACTGCACACAAATGCCGCTATTTTATCTTTCAATGCAAAAATCTGTATAATAAAAAAAAGACTATAAATATATCGATAATATTATTGTTTATATCTAGATGTAATAATTTAATAATATAAAATGATTTAATATATATATATATATATGTATACATAAAAAAAGAAAAAGAAAATAATAGAATAATAATACTTGATATAAATGAATTGCGGTATAACTTACTTGTTCCATCGTTTCATTGTCACCTTCTTTCTCTGCTTTATATAATATTGCTGCAGCAAGTTTTAAAATATTATGCACATAAACTGCTTGAATATGTCCTGGCAAACTGGATGCTTGTGATCGCAACATTGATTGTAATGTTGCCAAAGGATCTTCTAGTTCACTATTAATATAACAAATTTTCATTTAAATTATTATCATTTAATGAAAATAATTATGTTATATATTTAATTTATTACCTAGAAAATTCTCCACATATCCAAGCAGCTGCATATAAAACTTCAGACATAGTAGCTCGTGGTTGACCAGTTAAAAGATATGAATTTTCAAGCAGTAAGGCACATTGGTGAACTGCATATTTACGTATAGCTTGTACCCGGATTGCTACATCAAGTAATTGAGTGGCTACTAATGGTCCATGCTTGGTGCCTTCCATTCGTGTGAGTTCCACCAATACAGATATGTACCTATAAATACAAAGTTTATATATATATATATATATACATATATATATATCTTATTCATTATTGAACATTAAAACTTATATTTTGTGTATTGTAACATTATATGTATATATTTCGTTTTATTATTATCATGAAATATATTATTAATTTACCATTCAAAATATGTTATAAATTGGTAATTATTTTGAGAACAGATTTGTATGATCTTTGAAAGTAATTCATCTCTGTATGTAGTGCCTTCAGCTTTGTCCATATGCACCATTAATTTTTTAACTATTTCCATTAAATTCTTTTTTGATACCATTCCATATAATAAATCCAAGGCACGCAATCTTATACTTTCATCTTTGTCATCGAGACATTGCATAATAAGATCTTTATGAGCTTGTACACTTTTAGGATGTGTCCTTAATATTTTTGACATTGCTAACAAGCCCAAGTACTTTAAATTTTGATCCGAATCCTCTATTAATATTCTTAATTTCTGCACACACAGTTGTATTGAATCTGAATGATTTGGCATACCAGATGATATAGAAATTAATACAGCTATTACAGTGTTGATGCACTCATACAGCAAAGACATAGCAGATGTACTAAAAATAATAATAAAGATAATTTTATTAATGATATTAATAACTTATTAATAATTTATTTTAATAATCCTTGTTATAATACCAGCTATAAAATAACTGGGACAAACATGTACACATTTATATAACACATAGAACTATTTTACTTGCTATGATAAAATCTACAATTGTTGAGATATATGTGGGGGGAAGGGGAAATATCAATATAAACACGTTAAATACCTGTGTATCAAATTGGTAAGGGGTTCTATTAGCTTTTTGCCAAGCCTAGGTTCTAGAGGTGTCAATGCGCCAAACTGTAAATATAATTTTAAGTTGCAGTCTAAATGATATGTAATGACAAACAAAATATATGTATATATATATATATGTATATATAACATTCTATAAATCATTTATAGACAACACAGAGTAAAATGAATAGTGAAAATACTTGTATACTTCTACCATATTTTTACTACTACTATTTGATCTAAATTATCAATGCTTTTTTTTTTATATCAAAGTAATCAACTAGTAAAAAACCTTGAAATCAGGTCAATTAGTGGTTGAGTAAGTCGCCGACCCATTTTCGGCTCAATCAGTGTTATAGTGGAGAACTGAGCATGTGAAATAAGATCAACATTACTAGGCTCGAATTTAAAAATGGTATATGTATATATGCATTCATTGATTGATAACAGCTCTTATGTTTTTGTATCAATACTTAATCTTTCTGTGTTTAATTGATCGATCGAAGTAATATTACAAAATAGACTTACCAATTTGATGATTTTTATGAGCATCCAATTGTTAGTCGATGTTGTCATTAATTTGAAAAAAACAGGTGCCAAACTTAAATAATTTTTTGGATTCTTTCTTGCCAACTCACAAACTACATTGACAGCTGCAGACTGTACGCCACTGTCTGGATCTTCAAGTTTTTCTTTCAATCTAGGAAAAGCAGGCCTTAATGCTTCTGGAAATCGCAAGAACACCTTGTACATCATTAAAACTGCTTTCTTGCGTAAATATGGCTTTGTAGATGTTAACAAAGTCATTATGTCATTAACTAAATCACGTGCCAGATCTGGACTTATAAAGCAAGATAAACCACTAAGAGCCAATCCAGCATCATATTGATTTTGACTATTTAAATCTTTGCGTATCATGTTTGTGGTCAACATCAAAAGCTGTAATTTAGAAATTATTCTTAAATCTATAAATTAAAAGTTTATAAAGTAAAAATTTATAAATTATTCTTATGCGATCTTAAAACGAATCATATATCCCAAATTATTTATATGTCAAGCGATTAAATAAAAATCATACCTCTGTATCTGCATGGAAGCTTTGACTACCAGCTAAATATCCTATACGTTTATAAGTGAATTTGGCAGATGACATGACCTCAATTATATTAAATCCAGCCCAACTAATGTCATATCCTAACATTTGCAACTATAGAAATGTAAATAGTATTAGTAAGATGTACTATAGATTTAAATAGAAAATAACATAATTATCTTGTTAGAGATAAAATAATAGTTAAAATTAGCATATAAAACCTCCCTCCCCACACTTACATATGTTAACTTAGCAACTGCATTTGCCTTTACTGCAATATTATCTTGGCGCAATTCTTGTTTGATTTCTTCTATACATTGTGCAATATATTTTGCCTATCACAATAATATAAGATTATAAATTCAAATAAAACTTATTTTAGATAAAAGTATATTTTACAAAGTTAGGTTAAGTTACGTGTTCCTTTTTTCTTGTTATAATAGAAAAAATAAAAAAAAAAAAAAAAAAAAGAAGAAAAAGAAAACGAAACAAAACAAAAGGAATAAGGATATTTTTAAAATATAGAAAAAAAAAAACAAATTTACCTCGTTCTCTTTGTTATTTCTAATGCCACGCACTAAATCCGTCAAATTTTTGTCGAACATTCGTTCGAAATTTCCTTTTACTTTACGAAGAGCCATAACTGTATTTAACCGATAGATACTAGAACTCTCTCAATCACTTGAAAGGTTTCTTTCTACCTTTGCCTAATTTTCCGAGTTAATCGGATAAATTGCATCGATTGCATTACCGTATGTTAAAAAGAGTCTTTTAAACTTCACACACTCATTCTTTCTCATTTACATCTTCATTTGACAGGTAGATAGATACGAGGACTACTAAAAGATCATACCGATCATATGTACCTAAGAGTTGTTAAGAAATAGATGACATACCCGGTGTGTTTATTCAAGAAGTCTGCAACTTCTATACTAGCGCATATATTGGATCTTTCACGTTTTTTTCTTTCTTGTCTCTTTTTTCTTCTTCTTCTTCTTCTTCTTCTTCTTTTTTTTTCTTTATTTTTTTTCTTTCTTTTTTTTTTTTTTTTTTTTTCGAACTAGATTCCAGTTAAACGCATGGAGTTAACAATAAGCGTGCGCATGAATTTATGATTGATTTAATATCCGATCTCTCCGTGGCGATATATAATAATCGAATGATAATTTAACTACAAATACTTTTCAAAAAGATAATACTAATTCAAGCAAATGCAATAAATCAGTGATTTTTTATTGGGCTGATAAAAATGACTATTATTACGAATTACTATAGATAGATACAATAATTTTTGTCTCCCGATTGAAAATTGAGTTTCTTGATTTTTTTCTTCTTTTTCTGTTCTTTCCCCCCCCCCCCTTCTGATTGATCTATAATACGAGGATCGATAGATCGCTTTGAGTTTTTACGAAAAAATAAGATCATAAACGGAATATATATATATATATATGAGAAGTATCAAAGAAATTTTTTTTTCATTCTCTCTCTCTCTCTCTCTCTCTCTCTCTCTCTCTTTCTCTTTCGTTTCTTATCCAGAAAAAAAATCTCGAGCCAACTTAAAGACCTATAAATTTGAATGCAAAGAAATATCACTTTTTAGTTCGATATATCGAACTACGTTGTTATTTAAAATCATCTTGAACGTAGATTGGTCGATAACTTTGAATTTCATTGGATACTTTTTCGGAGCTACCATTTAGATCACTAAATTTTTCGAGTTACGATTCGAGATAAATAATACCAACTAAAATATTCCTCGGTTATCAATGTAGTTATCTTGAAATTGATATATGTTTTACGATAATTCTGTAGATAATTAAATACAATTAATATTTTGTTATTCGGAAGAGTGTATTTAGTAGAAATAAATAAAATTATCTACTGATAATTGCGTGATGTATGTATGCGTAGAATAATGAAAAAAATGAAACAATATTTGATATATATATATATATATATGCATAACATACACATATACACATATACAATATATATATATATATGTATAATTTTCTTTTTTCTTTTAATAAAAAACACCGATTAAAAGATGTTCGAACGCCATTCGTGTATCCCTAGAGAATATACATCGATTCGGTTGAACGCAATGTATATGAGTGAAGTTTCATTCCGTTGTCCATACACGATAAGCCATATTTTATTCAGACCTTTCCTTTCAGATTGCTCTCAACTTAATTTGCTCGAATGTTTCGCGGCATATATGTAGATAGAAGCCATTAGACAAAGGATAAATAAGTATCCGAGTATATTGCCACGAGTAAAACGTAAGATAAAAGAAAGATTTTAGAATGAATCAAGACATTCTGTGTTTTAATATGCATTGAGAAAATTCACGTATACTATGGATTAATATCAAAAGGGATCGCGAAAAAAAAAAAACAAAAGAGAGAGAGAGAAAGAGAGAGAAACAAAAAGTATTCGAGTTTTCAAAGTGTTACTTTTCCTTTCGTCTGGGCATCACTGCCGAAGGCATTGGACTCAACGTCGTGGCATGTTCAAACGACGCATCACGGATCCAAAGGTTGAGAACCTTTCGTTTTTGCACATTAATTCTTTCAACTCTTTACCAAAAATGCTTTTCTTATATTAAAATACCGGCATATATTATTTTGCGTTTCTAATTTATATATATATATATATATATATGTATATGTATATAATGTGTATGTATATATATATATATATTTATGTATATTTTTGGTTATATGATTGTATGATTATAAAGTAATTGTATTTGTCCATTTTATCAAATGACACTAATTGTACAACTTATATGTATACAACTATATATATATATACATATTTATAAAAAGGTCAAGTTTATAGTGATTATCTGATCTTATCGTTTTTGTATAATCTCCTTTCAATTAAAAATAATTATGATGATATTTAAAGTAATTAAAATTCCAATACAAGTTTTATTTTATATAATGTATATTGTATTGACTAGTTTTGTTAATTCAAGAAAATTATTTATTTGTGATATAATTGCAATAAGGTGTTAGCATGTTTTATGATATTTACAGACAATTTTGGATTAATCAGTATTCAAAATATCTGCAAGACAATGAATTCGGGTTATTTCAATTTACCTCTTAATATGGACAGAGTATGTAGAATCTGTCTAACAGAAAGTAACAATTTATCACCTATTTTCTGTACCGATCAAGAGGTAGATGATTTCTCAGATCTTCCACAAAAAATTCAAGTATGTGGTTCAATTGATATTCACGAGCAAGATGGATTACCATCTTTAATCTGCGATGTTTGTGTTTATAAAGCAAGTGTTGCTCATGAGTTTAGACAACAATGTCAACATTCCAATGCTAGACTACGAATGTATTATAATAAACCTGAAAAATGCAATGTCATGGTAAACAAAATATATGATGTAATTTTTATTTATATTTTACATTTAATTTCAAAAAAAAAAATATTTTATATTATTACAGGATTCGTGTACGCAAACAGATTTTTCTTCATGCATTGAACTACCGAAAAAGACAACAAATGAGCAAGACAATTCTTTTATAAAAGAAGAAATGCAAATAGTATCAAATTCTCAAGACTTCAATAATACTAATAATACTTACACTTCAAATACACCTAGTCTTACTACTACCGAAATCGACATACAAGATGAAAAAATCTTCATGTGTTCTATCGGATTTGAAGGTCCCAAAGAGATCGGTAAAGAACAATGTTCTACTACGGAAAGCAATATTAATCAAAATTCATCCATTGAATCTGCTTCGCAAGTAGATACATGCGATATTTATGAAACAATGGATGTAGATGATAAACCTCAAGAGGAACAGAATATTACTAAAGAATCAGAAAAAAATTCTAAACAACAAGAAGAAGAACAATTTCCAAATGAGCGTGTGTCCGATGATGCGGCAATTGAAAAGGATGTGGCACCTCCACAGAAACGTACGTCAACGAGGAAAACAAAATCAATCCCTAACAAATCTTACAGTGAAGATGAAGGTGATGATAATTATTATGATCCGAGTAGCGACAGTCAAGATTCAGAAGAATTAAAGTTCAAGTGCAAAATTTGTTTAAAGCGTTATGCAACACAGAAAGGCTTAAAAAAACATTCTCTTGTCCATGAGAAAAAGCACAAATGTAATATTTGTTTAAAATTGTTTTATAAACAAGAAAATATGGAAAAACATAAAAAGATACATGCATCTAAACCTCATGCTTGCCAATTATGTCATGCCTGTTTCTCTAAGTCTCAAAGTCTTGTACGACATTTGAAGTCTCATACAGAGAAAGTAAATGATATGATTAAACAGATAAATACTGACGAACGAAAAGATGATGGAGATTCAAAAAAAGAACCAAAGTGTGAAGATGATACTGAGGATGAAAGTGGTACAGTAAACGAACCAGATGAATTTGAAAATGCTCCTGAATTATATAAATGTGAAATCTGTAATCAGTATTGTTCTTCCTTAAAAAATTTAAAAAGACATGCTCTTGTACATGGGGATAAAAAGTATTCTTGCACAGTATGTAAAAAATGGTTTTTCAGACCAGACACATTGAAAAAACATGCTGAAAAGCATGGCCATGGATTATTAGATAATTTAGTAGACGATAACAAATTATTTGATTCAGATGACGATGCTTTTCCAAATGATACAACAAATACTTTACCAGAGAATGAAACTGTTAAAAAAGAAGATAGTGAAGAAGATGGATCTGGTGAATACAAGTGCCAACATTGCGATAAAATTATGGCTACTAAGAAAGGCCTTAGGCGTCATGTGTCCATGCATAAGCCTAAAGCTGAACCAGTAACTTGTGAAATATGTAGAAAAGTTTGTGCTAGTCAAGCTCGCCTTGTTCTTCATCAAAGGACACATAAACCCAAGGAAAAAGTGCCACGAGAATATCTATGTCATATTTGTAGCAAGGTATACCCAAGTAATTCATCGCTTACATACCATATGAGAACTCATACAGGAGTGAAACCACATGTATGCAAAACATGTAATAGTGGATTTACAACAACTACTAGTTTGGCAAATCATATTCGTATTCATACAGGGGACAAACCTTTTGTATGTCATGTTTGTAGTGCAGCATTTGCTGTGAGTTCAGCATTTAGGAGACATTTGACACGACATACGGGTGAAGCAAATTATCTCTGCAAAACGTGTGGCAAAGCTTTTAAGCGTCTTAGTACTCTGAAAGAACATACTTATACACATTCTGGTGAAAAACCTTATGTTTGTAAAACATGTGGCGCTGCATATAGTCATAGTGGCAGTTTATTTGCACATCAAAAACGATGTCGTGTCCAATATGGTGAAATGGTTGTAGATGAACATCATCATGCTGTTGCACATCATATTCATGTAAATAATGTGCAATCTGCAGTGAGATCACTTACTGTGATAGGACAGATGTTCTAAAGAGTAAAATCGGTGCTCTGAAATACACTTATTTTACCTAAATATTTATGCGAGAATAAATTTGTGGCTCTATATATAAGTGTTCCCACAATGGGAATAACACTACTATTATTCTTTTCATGAAAAAATATTGTTTTATCGTGAATACTCTTTACTGTAAATATTTAGCCAACTCTTTTCTTTTTTTATAATAAAAACATTTGTTTAAATATTTGCATCATGTATTAAAGATGCTGGGACTAGTGCTTCGTTATAGAAAGTACATAATCTAATATGTTTGATCAATATTAATATTATACAAATTTATTTCTGTATATTTGTATAATATAAATTATACATATATTCTTAACAAAAAATTGTCCATATATACTTGACAAAGTCAAGTTAATCCATAAATTCACAAAGCACTAATTTGATCTATTGCAAGAAAAATAGCATGGCAGGGAACATTCTATCTATTTTCAACATAAATTAATAACATTATTTTAATTTTTACAAATACACATGTTAGGAAAGAGACTGATATTATTATTCATCTATACTTTAAATGCCTAAAAACTTGTAAATATTTGAAATGTTTAGAATTATCATTTTGTGTGTAATATGATTTTCATATAGAATATAAATATTCCTTTAATTCTAGCCCTCTATATCGGTTCAGTATTAAAAATAAGTAAACAGATCTATATACAAAAATTTTTAATAATATTTTTAAAACTATGAAAAAGAAAACAAATTTAGTAAAGCAAAATGTTTTATACTATATACAGAAAAATCATAATTTTTGTTAAATATTATAATTTTCATTGAATGAACCTTATTTATAACAAAATAGAACTTTTAATTGCTTTTTATAAATACAATTTCATCAAAAATAATGTTGAAAACTGAAATAGAAAGATGTGTTTTGGATTTTCTATACAAACAAAAAATTTTATAATGCATACGATGTTTCACAATTGTGCATTAGATATATAACACTCATAATTCAAAAATAATTAATTTCTTTGTAATTAATTGTAAAGTAAATATCTTCATTCGCAAATTTATAAAACTTATAATTAATAATTATACATATATATATATTTCAAATGAATTCTTTCTACTAATAACTAAAAAAAAATTGTGTAAATAAAATTGTGTAATGATGATGGCAAAATAGGCTGTTGAAAAAAAAAAATACTAAGTATATTTAATTTCTCTTTATCTTTTATTAATATTCTAATTTGTTAATGATTTATAAGAGAGTAGAACATATTCATTTTAAAATATATAGTATTGTTTTTCTATAAAAAATACTTTAAAAAAGATTAAACTTAACGAAATAAATTTATCTGTTAAAAAGACAGATACATATAATTGTGATTGTTAGGTTCAAAAGTATATACAATGTATATTATTTGAAAAAAAATATTTGATACTACAAATAAAAAAACAGATACACTTTTCACGAAAGTGTTGAAATATTATTTATTTATGTCTTTGAAAATATTCAATACGTGATATTATTTCATAAGAGTTTTATTTTAAGTTTAAAAAATTAGACATATATCATTAATATTTCATCAGATTCATTTTTTCATCTTTGAATTTTTGCTTCTTTTTAACAATCGGTAACGTCGCCAAACAGACGCTCTACTTCTATTTAAAACCTTTGCTAAATCAACAAACTTCCGTTTTTCATCGAGGAATGGATTGTGATCGATATGATTTAATATCATAATATCCTCTTCTTGTGTATATCTGTAGAGAAATATTTTTTTCTATATAATTTATTTTACATTAGCAAATCAATACTGGGTATGTTGATGATTTTGATATAAAAAAAAAAAAAAAAAAAAAAAAGAAAAACAAGAAAAAAATATATATATTACCTTCTATTTAAATGTGAGCTATATAAAATTTTAAATCTATGGTATACGCTATACAATGTGCGATTTGGTAAACCATTTGCTAAAAACTGTGCAAATTTTTTTGTTTCTTTCTTCTTACAAGTATACTTCTTTCCATCGCCATCTCTCAGACTTAAAAATGCTCTATATTTACGTTTACTCCAATTGTGTAACTGTTATATCGTAAAAATTGTATGATAAATTAATACAAATTCATACAAATTTTTGCATGCGATTTGTAATGATGTATTTGATCAACATTTTCATATCCTTTCTTACCTTACAAAATTTTTTCCAATTATGAACAATTTTGTCATCCTCATCTGGCGAAAAGGAACCTTTTTTTAATGGTGCTAATGCCATAAACTGTTCCAATTCTTCACGTGAAGGTACATGAGTTCCTGAACGTATTTCGACCTTATGTTGCGGTGGAACTTCATGTATTAATTTTACTTTTAAATTACGTAATTGCTAAATAGAAACATAAATACAAACAAATTTACAATATTAATGACACATTTTTATAAAATAAATAAATTGTGTAAAAAAAAAGAAATTTATTACATTTAAATCCTCCTGAGAAAATGCTTCCTTTTCTCTTATTTTACGTGCTAGTAATGTGATATCATTACAATTCTCTGCTTGATTACAATCATAATCTACAATTTCTATCTTCATATTAATATTATCACTAGACATGTTTCCGGATTCTTCAATATCATGTGTTTGTCTGTAGAGTAAAATTTAAAAAACAAAAAAAAAACGGTCATTATTTTCTGATAAAAATGTAGCATTAAAAATTAATATTTTTATATGACTGTAATAATACGAAAATAATTGTCAAATACCTCGTTTTTCAAAGATATATATTTTAATTTTTTGTTTTTAAATTAAAAGATTTCTAAACATAACCTAATAACAAATAATTAATTTTACACGATAACAAATGAACTTGAAAATGATCGTTTTATAAATAAATTTCACGAAATATTTTAATTTTCCAAGTTTTTTTTTCTACATATTCACTATATTATAATAATATTAATATATTTATGTTAACTTTTTTTTTTACAGCGTGGCTAGAAAAACTCGATATCTTACTGAAGCGCATCTTTTTCACTACACTGACATTCACTCTACTGATATACATGTGATCGTACATCAGTGCAATATAAAGTGCATCACATAACCATACATAACGCGAGATTCACAATAAGTGTGTTTATCTTTTAACAATTTTAATTTAAATAGATCAAAAAAAAAAAAAAAAAGAAAAAAAACAATACTCTATTCGCCAATAATTTTTATAAATGTAATAGTACGCTATATACGATGTTCGTCAAATGTAAAGGACAATAATAATTTATAATATTCGTATATATTTATGTGTCATACATACAATAAAAATTATATTTATAATATATAAATTAAAAGATCAAAATTTTGTTCGAATATATTTCTACTTTGGATAACTTTTACGAATTATGGAATAATATTGCCATAAGAAATTGTATAATTCCGTTTTATGTAAATAGAATTAACACAATTGAATATCATTAATATCAAAATTTATCCCAGAATTAATGAAAAACAATACGGAATGGCTTCAGCATCGAGTACAAGTGCACGCAGTTTATTTGTTGATTCAAAAATGCGATTAGCAGATAGAGTTCAAGTTAATGTCAATAATATTGCGTCGCTTGCAAGACAGATCCAAAGGGGTTCAAAAAGTAGTGAAGTAATGTTATCATTAATATTTTTTTTGAAAAATAAATTTTTCATAATTAAGAGATTATATTTAACGTGATTCTTTGTTTTTTCTTTTTTTTTTTTTTTCTTTTCTTTTCAGATTCTAATGCATGCTGCAAAAAATTTTGCGCAACAAGAACATGGATTAGAGATGGCAGAAACAAACTTGAAAAAACTTGCACTTATTGTAACCCATTTGGAATATCAAATGGAGTCAATAGATAGAAGTTCTGTGTTACTGGAAGAAGTTACTGAACAAGTTCGAGCAATGCAACGTTAAAAATTTGTCACATTGATAATTTTAAATTTAATAATACTGTAAAATTTCTTTAATAATTTATTTTTTAACATTTTAATGTCAAAGTATTTATATGTTTATTTAAAATAATTTATATACCGACACATTTATAATTCATTGAATGTTAATAATTATTAAATTAATTTAAAACAAATGAAATTATAAAAATACTTCACAGTAAAAATAGTTTCATATTTTTATTCTTTTAAATGGATTGAAAAAAATCATTAAACAAAGTATATTTCTTAAGAACAACTTAAAAGATGACTTTAGACTTAATTTTATCAAGGATAAAGTATATCATAATGACCAGGACGATAAAGTAAGTGAACTGCTGGCGTAGCGCCTTCAGGAAAGTCATGTGCAGTTACTTCTGTTCCAGCACCACGATCCATGTAACGAACTCGAACACCAGTACCTAAAGCAGTGCTCATTGCTATAATATGAATATGGTCAGATTCTTTATACATTGGTTCTACTTCCTGTAACATAAATATTATAGAAACAAAAGGATTAAATATCTTTCTGTATAATAAAATTAATGATAATTAATGATAATGTTAACCTGATGACAAAATTCTGTTATGGTTCGTTCTCCTTCTATAAAATGTTGATAAAAATCTCCCTCTCTTTGTAACTGACCAGATGTAATTAATCTAAGGTATACAACAACATAATCAGAATAACCTTGCTCATTGAAAAGCTTATGTAGTTCAATATAACTAGACTCTGTGTCTCCACCTACTTTGTCGATCACTTCCATAAACTATAATCAAAATAAAATATATTATTATTTTGTAAATAAACAGGTTAGAAATGAATTATCTCAGATACAATTCATTTTCTGATATTAAATATTAATTGTACCGTGTCATGGAAATCTTCAACAGTAAATTGGGGAAAACCTAATGCCACAAGATTCTCTTTGCTTTTTAAAGCAAGTTCTCTGAACTTATTGTATTCATTTTTATCCCCAATTAGTTTTTCAAGATACGCATAACTAAAGGCTCTAAAAAAACAATTGCCATCAGGCCTTGTTCTTCTAATATAAGAATATTTTTGTCCCAAAGCTTTTGCTTTTGACAAGTATACTTCATCTTCTGTATATTCCTGTTCTAAACTCTTCAATGGTTCTTTTTCACCGACTAAAGCTATAGATTCAGATATCTGAAATATAATAAAATTATAGCCAGAAATATGTATATTTATATCAAAATGTCATAAGATATAAAATATTAAACGATCAATTTTTACAATTTAATTTGTAAACTTTTCATTAATAACTCTTTAAACTTTTCATAGGATTTATTTTTATGCTTGAAGAAGAATATTAACCTCCTTTTCTATACGTCTTTGTTGTTGAAGAATTAACTCATCCTGGTTGACATCTGTAATAAAACACAAACATGATGTATTAATGATATAATTTTTTAAATAAAAAATAACATATAAATACCTGCGTTTTCTACTGGCTGATCTTTTAATGACTTATCTTCCATATCTCATGAGTTCTTCATAAATTTCAGAACAATTGTCAAATTATCAATCGTAAACAAAAGCCAAATGTCCATGTGGAAATTGAAATATTTTCCGTTGAGAATTTAGCGGCTTTAGATTGGTAGATTCGAATCGTGAAACGGAAATCTAGGTAATTTAACCATGAAAATGTGTGCTTAGTAGTATAAGAAAATAAAATTTTAGTTACATTCTTGTTGCCGATAGCGCTTATGTAGCTCCTCGTAGTGGCAACATTTTAAACTAAATTTATATTTAGTTAAATTCATATTTAAATCGCCTCGCACGAATATTCGATATTTTATTACTTTTACAATTATCCTTTATTTTATTATTACATTTGGTAGCAAATTATTTTAAGTGATCTTGATATAAACTTAGAACATTATATATTAAATCTAGAATATATACATATTAATATGTATTTGTGTGTTTGTGTGTATATATGTATAGATATTAAATATATATTAAATTATTAAATTGTGTTATATATAAAATCAATAAAAAGATATATAAATCAACATGTAATAAATTTAAATTTTTGACTAGATAACTTTGTAAGTATTTGGAATGTTACTGCACAGTTTCAGTTAAATTAAGATTGTTGATTAGAATGTGATAGCCTTGATCTTTGAGTGCCTACAAAAATTTCTTGTCTATGTTCGTCTGGATGAATGAGATCATCGGTATGTTTCCAACGCCATTTCTTTTCACTTTCTTTTACACGTTTGTTATCAATATAGCTTATAACGCAACTCGTTGGAACCCATATAATAGCAGTGATTATTATCACAGCTCCTACTATGTTATCCTTTAAAAATCTCATAACTTTATTTATATTTATGTCCTCAATAATATCCCAAAAACGTTCCACGACATCTTGTACTGTTTTCTCGCATATTCCCTAAATACAATATAGATAATAAATATATCAAATAAAAAATCGAAAATATTTGCGAATAATTTTATCATCAAAAATTTTGTGATATATAAAGTATTACCTTATTACAAAAACCTTGAATACAAGGTGTACCATCAGGTAAAATATCTTGCGGATCTATAGGGAAACATGTTTCATTTAAACTCATTCTACAGCATCTCTTACATGCATCACCAACTGTAATATTAATGTATTATTATATCCATTCTTTGTATAATGTAATATAATTGATAAAAATTGATCATGATAAAATATAAAAATTTACTTGTATCACACATGCAACTTTGCAAACCCTGAGTCTCACAATATGGCACACATTTGCCAAGACGGCATTGTCCACGTTCTAAACAACCAGTACCATCTTTCATCGGCGGAGATCTAGGACATTCGCTTGATGCTCCGGTACAACGTGATTCTTGTTCGCAAGTTGCATATTGCGCGTCTCTACATTTTACTCCTACAGGCATATATGCACAACCTTGGCAACAGGGTGAATTTTTATCACTGCAATATACGTTGACGTATGCATTAATGCATAAAAATAAAATTAACAAGTTATACTATGATAACAATATTACCTGCATACTGCTCCTTGACTTCGTCGTAATTTACAATTTTTGTCACAACAAGGATCATTATCTTCTGTTCCTAAAAGTCCTGCGTCACATTCCTCGTCTCCTTCTACTCTTAAATTACCACAGAATGATTCTTCAGGCTCTGAGAAACAACGACCTGATTTAGCCTGTAATACTTTCCTAATGGATCTCAAACTGCATGGTGAAAAACGCTGTGCATTTAAAGGAGCTCATATAAATATAGAAAAAATAAAAAAAAAATTACATTGCGTATTTATGCATATTTTAACTTGTAAATTTATCTGACCTTGTTATTAACATCATAACCACTGACACTATATGTATACATTAAATACGATCCACCTTGACTTGCACTTGGACTACATTCCTGAATATAAACGAATCGAATTATATTATTGAATTATATAAATTATATTTGTGAAATTATATAAATAAAAGAAAATGGAATTACAGTTATATCAGGATCATGTTCAGAGCCCCAATTATGACCAAATTCATGTGCTGTGACTAAATCCGCTTCCCTTGTTATAACTCTCTGTCCATAATGATTTCTACTAGAACTCAGTCCCGAATTTAAATATAGAGTATAACCATTTTTAAAATATTCTAAAAAATACAAAATCTCTATTAAAAAGGTCTACGAGTAAAATGATAAATTTTATTTTAATAATAAAATTAATAATTGAAATTGTACCTGGTGTACAAATACCACCTACAGAATTTCTACGTGGTGATCCTACATAAGCTAATCCTAAAATCCCACCTTCGAATTTCAAATCGGTGAATAAATGGGCTAAACAAAAATCTTTATGACTGTATTCTCGACTGAAAACCTGCACATTAAATATTTAATATATATTTAAAATTTTTTTTTTTTTTTTTTCAAATGATTTCTCTACATTTGTACCTCAAGTAATGTTCGAACATCCCATTTTTCTCTAACCATATTATAATGTGTCTCTCCACCTCTCACACGTGTTGGTTCGCTATGAACAACAATCTTCTTTATAACAAAGCCCATTCCTTTAAATCCATCTTGTTCTTGACGTTCTTGCCATAATGTGTCATTATAAATTTTATGTACCCTATCTATTAAGCTTATCTGTTTTAAATTAAATTTATAAGAAAAATAATATTTTGAAATAATATTGATATTAATATTTAATCATTTGAAATAAACATACCAAATAATTAATTGTAGTTTTTGTGCTACTAGCACCCATTTCTTGATAAAAACGATAATCAGCTACTAATAACAAAGGACATCTTGTTTTGGTTGGAGTATACTCATAAGTTTCCGTTTGTCTTTTTACTCTGTTGTATTCATTTCCTTTAAAATCATGATTTTCTATAAATTCTTCGTCATCTTTCACTGGAACCTCTTCAAAATAAAATATTTCACATCTTTTTTTTTTTTTGTCAGTTGTACACTTTGTATCTTTTAATGTTTCAAGATAACATACCCATGTCTTCTTTAACATATCCACATGTTTTAGGAGTACCATGAGTATGTCCCACCCCATTTTGATAATGTTCCCAGCTTAGTTTTACATCAGAAGATTTATAAACGATCATTGTTTCATTTCCCAAATGAGGAAGGTGTCTCCATGATGGCTAAAATATTCATAGTTAGATAATCATTTGAAAATATTAGGAAATTTATATATAATATTTATATCTTACTTCAATGTGAAATGTGTCATCAGAAATAGTAATACTAGCTGTTACAATTCCTTCATCAATATGTACTTGGGCATGAGAATTAATTTCTCCAAAAACTCGACCATGATAGAAACTTTCATGATCTATAATATACATTATAATTATTAAATATATATTTTTTCAAACACATTGTATATAATCTATATTGCATACCTAAATGAATCGTTTTCTCCTTTCCATCCCCATTAACTTCATAAGCCTTAAAATTGGAATGTATTACTTCTCTTCTTGGTGTCAAAATTAAACGAAAATAACTACAACAATAAATAATGATACGTATTATATAAAACTACAAATATACTAAGAACAAATATAACTGTTATACAATTATAA